TGGCTGTCTGTCTGGATCTCCTCCGCAGATGTAGCACCATCGGGGGTCACCGCTCTATCCAAAACAGGCTCAACAGTTCTAGGGCTGATACCATCCTTCAGGGAAACCCCTTCATCTTCTTCCTCGGATCGGGGCTTCAAAGAGCTGGGCCTGGGCTTCATATCTGGGTTAGAAAATACAATAGGTGACGTTACAACTCCGTATTCCTCGTTGGCAGGTTCTTCGGCCTCCGAAATGACTTGAAGTGAGGGTGACACAGGGACAGAGGTCGCAGAGCCATGAGAGGGCCTAGGTATCTCCAAATGCTGCGAACCTCGATGGGCAGTGGGGATTGATGAATCGCCCAGGATGTAGTCCGTGACATCCTGCGGTCCTTCCAGTGGGGAATTAATGACAGGGGAAGGCGGGGCGCCTTCAAAGGCCGCCTGGTCCTCATTGAGACTGGTCTCCAGCTTACGTACTGTATCGATAATGCCCTCACGGTTGGACGGGAAACGTTCTATTGTGGGATCGTTAAAGTCGATATGGTCTGGGTCGAGCTCCTCAATCGGTGACCTGTCCTCGTCTCTGCTTTCGCGCCGCTGAGCTGCATTGCTCGGCGCAGGGGGGCTGGGGCACTCGTGGGGAAACAGCGGCGACTTGTGAGTGAGAATGTCCTCACGTTGGCCCTGGTCTTCGCTTGGGAGGCCGAAGAGGTTCTCATCATCGGGGTGGGGCTCTGAAATAAGGATAGCCTGCCAGTGTCAGTACTTTGTGTGCATACTTGTCCGATGGGACATGGAGGCTCATACATCAACCCGATCCAGAACCTCAGCTGTATCCGCAACTTCTGCAGCGGTTGTTGCAGTCTTGGACATGGGAGTAGGTGCCCTTTCGAGCATGCCGTCTCTTGGATCTCTGTCTGGAACACCCTCATGCAAAAGTGCAGCAGAATCAGCAACCTCTGCAGCAGTTCGAACAAAGTCCGGCGTGCCGGTACCAGATTGTGTCCGAATCTCCTGGGCCTTGATGGATTGCAGAATGCTGTCGCTGGGCAACACCACTTTGGAAGATGCTGAGTCCTTGTTGCCAACCCTTGGGGCTTGGGTCTCTTCAGACACCTCGGTCAGTTCCTTTGGAGCTTGATTCTCTTCGGCAGTTGGCTCCTTCGGAGTTTGGGTTTCCTCGGGAACCTCAGTTGGTTCCTTTGGAGCTTTGGTGTCTTCAGAGGCCTCAATTGACTCCTCCGAAGTTTGGGTCTCTTCGGGCACCTCGGCTGGTTCCTTCGAAGCCTGGGTCTCTTCGGAAACCTCAGTTGGTCCCTTGTCTAGAGGTGCATCTTCGGTTTTGGATCTGCTCATGTCAGTATGGCATCCAGATGTCTATGACATCAAGGGGACTGTTTATCCTCACTCCTCTTTCAGTTGTATTTCCAATACGTGGTTTGTATTGCCAGACTCGTCGGTCACAGTTGGTTGGCCCGGTGCCAAATCCCACCAATCGCCGTTGCCAATGCGAAATTTGTACTGATGCTTGGACCCAGGCTCACCATGCACTTCTTTCTGGAAAAAGTGCTCGCCATCTTCCTGGATGGTGTAGCCCATCTCTTCGGGATGCCATGGCGGGTTTGAGAAAGTGCCGGCAACATAGATAGGTGGCTGCGTGCCAGGCTTTTGGTACGTGATGACGGCGGGAATCTTGTCCGACGGCATGATGGGCGGATGGCGGATGGATGTGATGGGTAGCCGGTAGGGAAATCGGTTCAAGGGGTTGAAACACGAGACGGCGTCATCGAACTATCACCACTGATGAAGTAGTCCTTGAGATGATGATGGTTGAGTTGGACCGACCAGAAGAAGAGCAAACTGCTGGTGGTCAGAGTTAACAAGGTATGAAAGGTAGGTAAGGAGGAAATGAGGTAAAGAGGTAAGTAAGGTACTGCGCAGTAAGGTAGCGAGGTCGAGAATGCGCCACACCCAATTGTTTCAGGGCCAGTTCCCCTTCCAAGTTCCCGTCACGCCACTTGTTGAGCGAGGGGTGTGGGACCTAATCAGGGTGGGCAGGAATTGCGCGGGGCAGAGTTGCACGGCAGAAGAGGCTAGAAGGAGCAATGCAAGAGCTGCTTTCTTCACCGTTACTTTGAAAGATAAGGAAGGGGCATGGTGGATGGCAGGGAGAAACTCACATTGACCTCTTGATGGAAGTGATGATTTCCGTCCCACCCACCGCAGGAATCAAGCGGTCTGAACACTCCAAAAAAATGTCGAGTATTGAAAATTTTCTATTTTAACTTCACCGAACTCGGGGGCTGGACAAAGAAGCAGAACCAGCTGAATTCCAAGCCGGCCAGCTTTCTCCTCCAAGCTCCTCCCAAGCTCCTGCACGTCGACCCAAGCGGCCAGGATAGGCCAGCCCGAGTGGGCTTCATTTTGGGTGGCACGCAGTTATGATAACGATATGAGGTACGACAGTGGTCAGGAAGCTCCTCCAACTGTTACTGAAGCGCCGCTCACTGGTGCTGAACGGCCGTTAGCTCTGGAGCTAACAAGCTAGCGTCGATCCCCCGCCCGGTCTGCCAAGACCTTTCAGTGCGTCATCGACTGCGGTGACAGGCCCGGCACCGCTTGGCGGTCAACTTGGGCAAAACAATACTGCCACCTCCCACCGCCTCATTTGCAGGTGCAATTGCAGGGTTCCATCTCCACCTTATCTCTCCACGACTCTTCTCAGAACTCCACTTATATAAACAAAATCCCATGTTCTACGTCGCCTTGGTTGTGGCGCTGGTTAACTTTTGCATTAGCTCAGGCATTGATTGAGAAGAATTTACTTATTCCTGCAGATTCTGCTGAAATTTGCTATTATCTTCCTCATTGCGAAACACTGTCGCACAACCACGCGAGATCCTCGACTCTTGGCATCAGCTACCCCTGCGGCTTGACGACCGCCTCTCAACCACCGACTGTGTCTCAGAACTATTCCACTATTTGATTTATTCAACAAGCAACTGAGCAGATGAGTAAGCGTTGAACATCGACACCTCGACCCTCTTTTTTTCTCGGCAAGCTGGAGGACTTCTGAGCAAAAAAAGGAAGTTCTCGATTAGGCACCGTCAGGCTTCCTGCAACTCAGGTCCCCCATCGCCGTTGTCACCGCCCACTCCAACACACCTCGCATCCGAAGGAGACCACGTCAACGCACCACTTGCAACGTTCCGACAATGGCGGCGTTACCACCCGATACGATCCAGGTGAAGCGCAAACGTGGCATAGACGAGGCCCCTGTCGACTTTCTTCGTGCGTGCCTCTAGACCTCATCCATTCATGCGTCGTTCGCTGTACTGACCACTGTGTATCACAGGGGTCGATAGGAGCAAGCGTTATCGCATTATATCCGAGGAAGTCGGCTGGGTCTATCAGCGCAAGCAAGTCGCTGTCGAGCAGGGCAAACAGGAGAAACAAGACACCAGCTCTGCAATCCCTACCATTGTGCCAACTGAGGAAGGCGATGAGAGACGGCTGAATCGCCCCAAGAAAACACCCAAGGCTCCGAGTTCCAATGCCTCCACGACCCTTGAGCCGGTGCCTGCGTTGGCGTCCGCAACAGTCCTGGCGCCAGGTGCAGCTGATTTGAGCGACCCGACGGTTAACTTGCGTAAATTCCACCTGTCAAAGCCCAACTCGGCACAGCCATCTGCTGGCGTGACCAAGAAACGCGGCGCTCCTGCTGTCTTTGTTGAGAGGGGCCCAAAGAGACAAAAGTCAGCAATTCTGACCCCCCAGGTTGTCAAGGATATTCTCGAACAACCCAACACACCGCAACCGTCGGATAACTCTTTGCCCGCCAAGACTTCATCCTCATCTTCCCAGGAACCAGACACAAAGCCTGTTATCTACAAGCGGCCAGGGACCAAGCCTCGTAACAAGGCGTCAGCATCCGAATCTACAACGAGTCTGAAGCCCACCGTACCCCCATCTATGCACAGCCGAGCAGCCGACATGGACGAGCTATCCAGGGTCATGGATACCTGGACACTGGGTGAAATCAGCAAGAATCTAGACCGAATGGATCAACTAAACGCCAAATCCAAATCTAGCCCAGCCAAGTCGCCATTTCGGCCAAAGGCTCCCAAGCTCCGCTACCACGAGCGGCACCCGACGGAGTACGTGGCCCAACAGGAGCGGGCTAAGGAGCAAGCGGCCGCGGCTGCAGCTGCGGCCTCCACTATGGATATCGACATCATCGAGACCTCAGACGACGATGATTATGTGATCGAGACGTATGAGCGTGTTCCCGCTGAGCGGTTGCGAGACCAGGTCGTACCAGCCCACCGCGTCGGCTTGCTTGTCTTTGATAATGAGCCCGATATCGCTGAGTTCTTTTACGGCAATGAGGACGAGACTGATGATGAATTTCCTGAGGACGAGGATGATGAAAATGGTGAGTACCTGAGGCCCCTAGTAAGATGAAAAGTGCTAACGGTTTGTGTGCAGCTGAGAACTACTATGCCCATGAATATCCCGACGAGGATCTTGACTGGGAGGATGAGTTTGATCACAACGCCTATCAGTATGCAGCTCAGAATTTCTCAGACAATGAGGAGTGGGACGAGCGCGACTTTGCGGATGAAGCATGGGATGCCAGCGATACGGTTAAGGACCTTTAAGCTGGTAACCTGCAACATCCTTCTGGGCGTGGTGGTCTCTAAAGTTGGCTGCGAGCAGTGGATGAAGATACCAACTTTTGACTTTTGCGTATTGACAGGAGCCTTTGGGTAGTTCATCTCACCCATTGAGGATTCTGGTAAATGATACCCTAGGCATGTCCCACAATGCCGTATTTTAATGTATATTCTGTGTTATTGTCGTGGGTTCATCTTGCTAATTGCTCCATTTGACTATTTGAGGAGGAGAGCGCGATGAGGTTATACTGAAGAGAGGAGACAGACCTCTTTTCAAGTCTGAACGAGAAGTTGACCTTCAAGTAGGCTAATTTCATCCCTAATCGCCAACAATTCCTAAGGGTGTATGGTCTAGTGGTATGATTTTCGCTTCGCATCCTCTCAAAGGCGCGATTACCTGTGAAAGGTCCCCGGTTCAATCCCGGGTGCATCCAATTTAAATTTACTTTTTTAAAAACCTAAAAGCAATGGCTTTTTTTTCTTTTTGGCTCTTTGGGCTTGACTTTGTTCATCGTTGACACCGACGGCTCCGAAACAAAATGGAGGGGCTCTTGATTCGGCAAGGCCGTCTTTCTTTGGCTACAAGTCAGGCATATATCATGTCTCCCAACAAGACCGGCTCTCGATCACTCGGGGCCGTCGGAGACTTCACCACTTCAAACAGTTCACCGCGTTTCAGACGTGGCTTCGTGGCTTGAACACTAACATCTTAAGCCTCACTCACACAATCTGTTTATTCCGTCGGTACCCGAGATGCCGATAGCATGGTAATACCCTGAACTTCCCGCCAAAGGCAGCACATCTCTCAATGTTGCGTCATGAGTGCTCTTTGCCAGCTCGCAAGGGGAGGCGCGAGGCACCATATATTGGAAGGAGCATGATTTTATGGCAGTCTCCGGCGCCTTCCACCACATATCGGTAACATGATGGCACACATCATCTTCCCATCAGGAGCTTTCCACACAGTCACACACAACTTTCGGGGAAAATCGTCTGCCACATCCTCGGGTCGGCCCAAAGCGACCAGTTACCACCTTTGGTCTCAACGGTGGTGTTGATGGTCCACAAGCCGAGAATCTTCGTGTGGCGTTCATTCGGCCTCAGGGGCTTGCGGCTACATTGACTCATTCACGATTTCTTCACTGCAGATAAAAGGATTCCGGGACCCAGAGGCTGACGGACAAGTACGTGGCTTCGTCACTTCCCCGGTCCCCTAAAAGACTAAGAATTTCTCCTTCCAGATTTTCCTGTCCTCGTGTTGTCTCTGCACCGTTCGAGAAGTGGGACTGGACCTGGCCGGCACCAAATATTCCACCACCCACCAACCGTTCCTTTAACCTCGGTGTTGTCCCCGGTTCTGGTAGCCGGGCTGGCTCATCGCCGATCTCTTCTTTCAAGATCTCAGATATTGATATAAAACGGTCTTGCTGAATACCGGACGATAAAGACGACGACTCGCGATGAAGCTGTCCCGTGTCCTGGGCAGGTTGTCAGCTGCCGCAACGCTCAGTCCGTTGGCGGTGCTAGCTTGTGACAGCTGCTACGGTCCCATCGACGAGCATGCGTCGAAACACGTGCGGGTTGTGAAACGCATGCAGCCTGGTGCCTTGGATGCGAGGTATGGTCCTACGAGGCCGTTGCAATGGGGGCAGTTGAATGTGTTACACACAGTTTGTTCACCCTCCCGAAGCCGAATAGCAGATGAGCATTGGTGCAGCGATTTGATATTATCTAGAATGAGCTGTTTACGAACTCACGTGGATTTAGTCCGACACTCACGGGTGGCTATCTGGTCACATTAAAGAGGCCAACTACGGAGCCGATTGGGGTGATTATGTCTCGTTCGTGGCAACCATGAAAAGGAGAGCCCAGAATCTTGGAGTGGATTTACTGCTTGTAGATTCTGGCGATCTTCACGATGGAACGGGCTTGAGTGATTCCACAACGCCAAACGGAGAGATTTCCAACGAGATCTTTGTCAAGCAGACGGGGTATGACTTGTTAACTATTGGTATGCTTCTCCTCTCCAATCTATTCTCTAAAAAAAGTGAAATCATGCTGATACGAATGAGCTTTGCAGGCAATCATGAGCTGTATGCATCTGAAGTAGCCTATCAGACTTTCAACAACTTCAGCAATGCATGGGGCGACAAGTACCTGACCTCCAACGTTCAGATCATGAACCCTGACACTCAGGAGTGGGAGTACGTTGGGAAGACGCACAAATATTTTACTACGGAACATGGTCGGTTGCTCTCTTACGTTGTTCGTTATGAGGACCCGACTGATAGACTTCTCTAGGCCTTCGGATCATGGCTTTTGGCGTCCTCTTTGACTTCACGGGTACGCACCAATTCTCAGGTCTGGGAACGAGATATCTAACTTGAGCAGCGAATACAAACGCTTCAAGGATCACCAAGGCCGCGGACATGGTCAAGCAGGACTGGTTCCAGCAAGCGATTCATCATCCAGAGCCGATCGATGTCTTCCTTGTGCTTGGCCACAATTCGGCACGTCCAGGACGCCAGGCCAGTACATTGAAGACGGTTTACTCTGCCATCAGAGAGGCGCATTCCGACACACCGATCCAGATGTTTGGTCCGTAAATTTCCTTCCACTCGACATCCAAATGAAGATACAAAATTAACATCAGACAGGTGGACACAGTCATATGCGAGACTTTGTAGTTTACGATCAGAGTTCCACCGCCTCCGAGTCTGGTAAGTGTTTTCTCCTAGGCTTTTCTGGCATGATATAGCTGACATATCAAGGCCGATACTGCGAATCCCTCGGCTGGTTCTCCATGTCTGGCTTCAACTCCTCCAACAGCGGTTTCACCGGGCCTCTTAACCCGGAGGGTGTCCCCAACCCCAACCGCACAGCCCTGGTCACAAATCCAGTCAACCCCAAAGCCATCGACAAGAAGAAACGCCAGCTGGCCATCTCCCCCTTTTTGTACTCGCGGCGGTATCTCGACTGGAACCGCCTAACCTTTGACTACCACGCCCCTGGCTCGCAATTCCTCCATTCCGGCACCTACCACCACCAGCAAAACCTAATCTCCTCGCCCTCCGCATCAAACACCTCGTTCCAGCTCAAACAAGCCGGCGCACAAGTTTCGTCTAGTATCACCTCCTACCGCCAGCAAATGGGGTTGTGGAAGGTGTACGGCTGCACTCCGCAGACGTATTGCCTGAGCTGTGTGCCGTTTATGGCTCCTAATTCGCTATATACCTTTCTCGCGGATGCGATGGCGTCACAGATTGTGAATCCAAAACGAGCGCATATTCCGAGGGTGCATATTTCCAACACGGGAATGGCAAGGTTTGACTTGCACAAGGGACCGTTCACGATGGATGATAATTATATCACGTCGCCGTTTCCAAGTGTGGTGGTTTACATACCTGAGGTGAGCTGGGAGAGGGCAAAAGGGGTGTTGGAGAGGATGAACAAGAAGGGGGCGGGGCAGGGGAGGAGGGTTGAGTATAACTCTACCACGTCACCCAAACAAAAGAGGGAATGGGGTATTATGGAAGGGGAGGAGTGTGTCAATCCGACTATTGGGAAGATGGGGGTGATGGGAGAGAGGAAACTGGGAAAGAGAGAAGAGATCATGGGGGTGCCGGTGGGCAATGGTGGTGGGAGGAGGCAGGAGGTGCTCGAGGTGGGATATACGACGGAGGATGATTTTGGGGCGGATGGGGATGATACGATTCACGGCAAGATTCCGAAATTTGAGATTCCGGCGTATTTTGGGACTACGGCTGGTTTCCCGGTGAGAAAACAGGGAGGGAGGAAGGGGATGGTGAGGGAGCCAAGGGTGGTGGATTTGGTTTTTAATGATTTGTAAGTTCTCCTTCGAAGAAGAGAAGGTTGGAAGCAGGAAAAAGGGGGTGGATGGATGGCTAACTTTAGGGGTGGATAGTATCAACGACGATTTACTCGCGGCGCTGGGGGGGAATTACACGGCGGACGACATCAAGTTTTACATGGAGCCGTGGAATTACACGCTGAGGGACTTTTTGGTGCCGTATGTGCAGAATAATTGGCAGGCGGGGATGCCGAATTGTGAGATTTCGGGTACGAGGCCGCATGTCGGTTGATGGTTCGAGATTTTGCTTTAATGGCGTTACTGGGAGTTGACAAAGATGGGAAAAGTTTGGTGGTCGGTTCAACACGGGTTTACGGTGGGAAAATTGGGCAGGGTGAATGACCCTGATGATCGATCATGCTGAATGTGATTTCAAGAAGCTAGAGGATAGATTTAGGCAGCGATGCCAGGAGTTTTGATAGAGTAATGTGTAATGATGAATTTGAACAACCCATACGACCTTGTAACATAGCAATCTTTCTTGCCAGTGAGTAGTGAGCATCGATAGGCAGCCATGTAGAGAGTGTCAATACCCCTTAAATCCAGGGTTAGGGGAGACAGGGATCAGTGCTCTCTTATGGATCAGCCGGAGAGGGTTAGGGTTAAATTCTATCATTGCATCCAATCAGTTCACGTCGCCAAACCAGTTCGGGAAGGGGAACCGATGTTTTTGCATCCACTCACCAAGCACATCACAAATCGACACTCACTTCCAAGAAATTTCGATATGATCCGCGATCAATAACCCCGGGCTTTACATTTTTTTTCCTAGCCAATAACAATTTTAGCAACTGAATAGATTACCTATTCCGCTCACTCAATTACTGAAAGTCACGACAATTTCTGTCACAAGCCGTCTCATATCGCCCACAATGAGAAGCAAAACAATACAGCGGCTCGTCCGCCTCCCCCTCGAAGCAGCCCGCCAGACGCCCCAAAAATCCTTTCCCGCTATTTTTGCCAGGGGCGGGACGTCCAACGGTCTTGTTGTCTGGGAGCACGACCTGCCACCCAGGAGCCACTGGAAGGAAGTCCTCCCCAAAGTGATGGGCTCACCGGATCCCTACGGGAGGCAGCTGGACGGGATGGGGTCGGGGGTGTCGTCTACTTCCAAGATGTGCGTGCTGTCGCCGTCTAGGAGGAGGGATGCGGATGTAGACTTTACGTTTGTGCAGGTTGGGATTAGGGATGGAAAATTGGATATGGCGGGGAATTGTGGGAACTTGTCGAGTATTGTTGGGCCGGTTGCTTATGATTGGGGGTTGGGGAGGAGGGGGGTTGAGTTTAGAAAATGGGAGGGGGAAGGAGAGGAGGAAATGGTGGGGATGATGAGGATATTTAATACGAATACTGGGAAGGTGGTGCACAGCAGGTTTAAGGTGGGGGGGAACCCGTTGAGGTTTGATTCGGGGGGTGGGTATGAGATGGATGGGGTTCCGGGGGGGGGAGTAGGATTGTGATGAGCTTTTTGGAGCCGGGGGGGGCGAAGACGGGGAGGACGCTGCCTACGGGACGGGGGGTGGATGTGCTGAGGTTGAGGGGGGGAGGGGCGGTGGAGGCGAG